TTGGATGGATGGATGGATGGATGGATGGATGGATGGATGGATGGATGGATGGATGGATGGATGGATGGATGGATGGATGGATGGATGCATAAAATCAATTTAGATGTTCAGGTGAAAAAACCCAAAGCATCGCAGGTGTCAAGGATAAGATTCAATCGAAAAGTGACTGATGCTCTGACTTTGCTCCTGTGTGTGTGTGTGTGGTGTGTGTGGTGTGTGTGGTGTGTGCGTGTGTGGAAATGATTTGTGAGTCTCCAAGCAGATTGAGATTGAACACAAATAATTTTGCATGCGTCTTTAACTTGGATTCTGCAGGTGGAGCTGATCCTGGTGAAGGAACAGAACGGGGTCCAGTTCACCACCAGCACCTTAGTGGTTCCAGCTCAGACCAACCCCAGTGGAGAGGAGGAGAGGGAAACCTGGGGGAAGAAAATCGACTTCCTCCTCTCTGTGATTGGATTTGCTGTGGACCTTGCAAACGTGTGGAGATTTCCTTACCTCTGCTACAAAAATGGAGGAGGTGAGAAGAGAAAAAAGACTCATGTTCCAAAGTGCTCCTTTGGTCTGTCTGGTTCTTTTTGAAGAACGATTTGGATGGAATTCATTCAGATGCTGCGTTATTATACAGTTGTTGTTTTTTCTTCCCCATGCACATGTGTGCATTTATAACCCTTTAAAGAGATCCAAATAGAGAAAAGAGAAAGAAATGCAGCCCAGCTGCGGTGCATAGATTAGCTCTAACAATCAGTGTCAGTAATTACGGCTGTTTAACATGAAGCTCTCATTGTGGGGAAGAGCTGCAAATGATACCGTGGCCAGAAATGAAATGACGTTTGAGTCCCTTGAGGACTGGCACTCAGAACATCCCAGAACCTGTGCATTGAGACATTGTTACGTTTTAGTTGTTTAATTATCTCTTTTTTTTTTTTTTTTGCATTTCCTTAATGAGATGACTGTTTCAAGATAGAAATACAATAAAAATATGCAGCTTTTTTTCTATAATGTCAGTACTTTTTTAACTATATTTTTGTATAAGAATAAAGATTTTGCATCAACTTTTGATCAAATCTAATAAATGGTCAGTTTGACACAAAGGTTTTGAAAAAAATCACGTTTCCTAAAGAGGCAAGACTGATAAAACTGTAAAAATTCCATTTTAACTTTTTAATAATTCATGATTTGTGTTATTTGAACTTTATACAGATTAACAAATAGCTTAGTTGGGTTTCTGATTAATAAAACATTTGCACTGAATTTACTGTGTCTGCTCTTGATGACTAAACTGCTTTTTTTTTTTTTTTTTTATAAAACATTGTTATTTGTATCCAAAACTAATATAGTTTTGCGTTCTGGAACATTCAAAACACTTCTTGATTTTGAGTTTAAACAAACACAAAAATGAAGCAAGTTTCTAATTATTTTTTTATCTAATGGGTACATTATTGTTATAATGTATGATTTTGGATTTTGTAAAGTGGCAACAAATCACATGGGCGTGAGTAATATGACAAAATATTCATGATACATCTCCCATTAGTTTATTTATTGCATCATCACCTACCTAATAATATGTGCACATAGTAGCAATATTTAAATTTGACATGGATGTCATCAATCTGAAATGGAAAATCTGAAATCACTGTGATCTGCATTAACTACCTGGTTTATTCTGAAGCTTTGTTGCATTTGTGCAGGTGCGTTCCTGGTGCCGTACCTGTTCTTCATGGTGATCGCAGGCATGCCTCTTTTCTACATGGAGCTGGCTCTGGGCCAGTTCAACAGAGAGGGGGCCGCAGGTGTTTGGAAGATCTGTCCCATATTTAAAGGTATGAGGGGTGGGTTTTTATTCAGATATACAGCGTTTATGGAAAATAATCCCTCACATGAACCTGGTCGACGCCCTGAGTTAGTATCCAAACGTCACACACGTGTAATATTTATGACTAACCATGACGAAGGGAGAATAAAATATCACACACTAACAATTAAGCCTGTCAGATCCTTCATCTGGTCAAAGATTATCTTGTGTCTCTTAATGTCTTTTAATGTTTTCTCCAAACCTCTTCATAATCAGCGCAACTCCAAATATTATCCTTCAGATTTTAGTTCAAACATAAATATATATTTAATTGTATTTATCTCTGGAAACCAATATTTCTCCCCACATTGTCTTACAGAACAGCTTGTGCTAGTTCTATAAATATGTCACAGTTTCTGTTTATTTCCCATTAAGTCTATTTGCCTTTATTGCTGCATGAATGACATACACCCCCACCCCCCACCCCCGATGCTTGTGTGTTTCTCACTCTGTGTCTGCCCACATGCCTGCCTGTCCACATGCCAGTCTCTTTTGTCCACCCGACAGGCATTATTTATCCCTCCCAGAACATCAGGTTCTGCTGGCACTCAGATGGAAAGCGAATGTAAATTGTGCTTTTAGACTCGTGTCCTGATTGTCCAGTCAGGTGTCATGTCGTTTGAACACATCATTAAGCAGAGCGCCGTCCAGGAGAATGCACCCAAACACACGGTAAAAAACAAACATCCATCATCTTGTTCTGGAGTCAGGTCTTGGGGTAGCAGCTTGATTAGGGAGGCCCAGTCATCTTTTTCCACATCCACCTCTTCCAGCTCTTCTGGGAGGACCCCAAAGTTTCCTCAGGCCAGCCCAGAGATATAGTCTATCCAGCATGTCCTGGGTTCTCTACGTGTCTCCTCCCAGTTGGGAGGCATACAGGGTCCATCCTTACCAGCTGGCTGAACCACCTCAGCTGGCTCCTCTTGATGTGGAGGAGCAGCGACTCACTCTGAGCCTCTCCTGGTGAAGTAAAGTTCTCACCCTCTAGGAAAAGTCCAGGACTCTGTAGAGAGTCTAGTCCTGCTACTGCAGCGTTCATGGCCATGGGTAAGGGTAAGAACATAGACTCATAGGTAAAAAGAAAGCTCAGCTCCTCTTTACCACAAAATGGCACAAAAGACTGCAGAAGCCGCACCGATCTGTCTGTTCAGCACTGCTCCTCCTAATCCTGAAGTTCATCCATCAACCAGACTCTCTTCTACAACTGGAGGAGGCTGAGGAGACTAATACCTGTAAATGGAACACAGCCTCTAGTCCCACTTCTTGAAAAAGGGGAAACGACCCTCGTCTGTCAGTCCAGTGGCACCATCACTGATGTTCACGCAATGCTGCAAAGGCAACCAAGACAGTCCAGCAAAATCCAGAGAGACAAACAATAAGAACCAGTTTGTTTCTGAACTCTGTCACAGAGAGTTACAAAAAGTTAATGACAGCTTTTGAGCAAATTAAAATTTTATCCTTTTACATACTTTGTTAACTTTCTTTATACTCGTTCAACCACAGGTTGTTGAACTGCACGTCCTGCTCAATTTTAGACAGTTTTCTTCAATTGTAAACCGCCCCCCAAAAAAACAAAATTTAGATCTCAAATTAACAACCTCTGAAACTATTAATTCCAATAAACCAGATGTTGTTTTCACAGTAAGAAACCATGTGGTTGTTTTCTATGAAATATTGTTTTTTAGGTGTGAAGGTTGTCCACAGTGTCCCATTGTGTCCATCTGTCTTTCTGTCTGTGTATTTGTCTGTGTCTGTCTGTCTGTCCGTGTGTCTGTCTTTCTGTCTGTGTGTCTGTCTTTCTGTCCGTGTATCTGTCTTTCTGTCCGTGTATCTGTCTGCATGTCTGTGTGTCTGTCTGTGTGTGTGTGTGTCTGTCTGTGTGTTTGTGTGTGTGTCTGTCTGTGTCTGTCTGTCTGTGTGTCTGTCTGTGTGTGTGTGTGTCTGTCTGTGTGTTTGTGTGTGTGTCTGTCTGTGTCTGTCTGTCTGTGTGTCTGTCTGTGTGTGTGTGTGTCTGTCTGTGTGTTTGTGTGTGTGTCTGTCTGT